TGGCCTTCTTGGTCACCAGGGCCCATTGCTGGCTCATGGGCATCCTGAATCCACAGGGAGTGGACAGAAAACAGGGAGGTTGAAGCACGGAGGGTGTTAGGGCTTGTCCATAAACCACCCAGAGAGGGTGGGGACCCCCCAAACTGCTAAGGGGGGACTACGAGGCTGTGAGAGCAAGAAACCACTGCCCCACGGGGAAGCGTCACAGCAAAGCCATCCAAAATATCTGCCTCTGGAGCCCCCAGTTAGAGAACCATGGGAAGAGGCATCCCCTGAGCCGTCACTTGGTGCAGTCAAGGGTGAGAAATCTCTGCAGGTTTATCGGTCCCCACCAGAAGGGATCACATAAAATAAAGAAACTGGTTGGAAGAAGTGAAAATCCAATACAGGGGACAATACTCGCAATCAACAGGGAGACAGGGTGCAGCCAGCGCGGACACACGGCTCCCAGCAGGACACATCCTAACATAATACCATGGTGAACCTGCAGGAGGATGGTTTAACAGCAAAGCAAGCTAGCCAAAAATACGAAGAAAACTGGCTTCACGCGGAGTGGATGAGCACACGATCAGCTGGATCAAGCACTGGCTGACTGGAAGGTCCCGAAGAGTTGTGCTCAATGGATGTACGTCCAGCTGGCGGCCGGTCACTAGTGGTGTGCCTCAAGGCTCAGTGTTGGGACCATTTCTGTTTAATGTCTTTATTGATGATCTTGATAAGGACATAAGGTGTAACATCAGCAAGTTTGCAGATGACACCAAGTTAAGCAGGAGTGTTGACTCCCAGGAGGATAGGGAAGCTTTGCAAGAGGATCTAGATAGATTGGATCACTGGGCCAATGCCAATGGAATGAGTTTCAACAAGGGCAAGTGCAAGGTCCTGCACTTGGGCCACAACAACCCCCTGCAGCGCTACAGGCTGGGGGAAGTGTGGCTGGAGCTGCCTGGAGGAAAGAGACCTGGGGGTTCTAGTTGACAAACGGCTGAATATGAGCCGGCCGTGTGCCCAGGGGGGCAAGAAAGCCAATGGCATCCTGGCTTGTATCAAAAATAGTGTGACCAGCAGAAGTAGGGAGGTGATTGTGCCCCTGTCCCCAGCACTGGGGAGGCCACACCTGGAGTGTTGTGTCCAGTTTTGGGCACCTCAATACAAGAGAGATCTGGAGGTGCTGGAGCGAGTGCAGAGGAGGGCAACGGAGCTGGTGAGGGGGCTGGAAAACAAATCGTATGAGGAGCGGCTGAGGGAGTTGGGACTGTTTAGTATGAGGAAGAGGAGGCTGAGGGGAGACCTCATCACTCTCTACAACTTCGTGAAAGGACACTGTAGAGAGGTTGGTGCTGGTCTCTTCTCTCAGGTAATTAGTGACAGAACGAGAGGGAACGGCTTCAAGCTCCAACAGGGGAGGTTTAGTCTGAACATTAGGAAAGAATTTTTCACCAAAAGAGTGGTCGGGCATTGGAACAGGCTGCCCAGGGAGGGGGTGGAGTCCCCATCCCTGGCTGTGTTTAAGGGCCGTTTAGATGCAGTGCTGAGGGATATGGTGTAGGGGAGGACTTTGTAGAGTTGGGTAGATGGTTGGACTCGATGATCCCAAGGGTCTCTTCCAACCTAGACGATTCTATGATTCTATGAAATAGTAAAATTTTTAATTTTACTATGAAAGAAAAAAAAAAAAAGGTCAATGGCGTCCTGGGGTGCATCAGGAAGAGTGTGACGGGATTGATTGGGATGATGTCCAGTGGCCGAGCAGACAGACCTCAGATGCAATTCAATATCATTAAATTCAAGGCAATGAAGAGGTGACCCTACACATACACAGCTTGAAACGAGCTCTGTGGTTCAGGAAGGAGACACTTGCGGGTGGGTCACCTGCCTGCTCTGCGGTGGCAACCAAGGGAAAAGGGCTTCAGGAGGCATTGTGGGGAGAAGCGGGATGTGTGAGCACGGCCAGGGCGGCGGGAGGCAGGGGAGCAGCCGAGCAGGGAGACCCGGGGACAGACCCGGTGCCTGCTGCTGCCTGGCAGGGCCACTGGGAAGGGACCTGGTGAGGGGTCACTGAGCGGGGGGAAAAAAAAGAAGGAATATTTTCATTTCCTAGAGGGGAGCTTCAAGGAAAGCCACAGGATTTCAAACATCAGGAAGCGCTTTCTTGCCACGTGGTGGGAGGCTGCCTCTGCTGCCGAGCTCAGGTGTGTGAAGGGGTTCCAAAGGGAGCAGGAGAGCACACGGAGGGTTGGTTTGCTGGGGCTGTGGCAAGTCCGGGATGCTCCCAGGCCACTCCTGGGTGATGAGGACGAGGACAAGGTCCCTGTTTTTCGCTCTGGCTCAGCCTTTGAATGGCCCCAGGTTGCCCAACCCCGCTGCGGCAGCGCTGGGCACACCAGCCTGGTGGCCCATCCCCAGCGTCCGGAGCCTGGCACCCGCCCCAGGACCAGCCCCAGGTCCCCCCCCAGTTCCTGACTCCTCCTCCTGTGCGCCCTGAGAGCCCTTTGGGACACCAGTGTGACTGCAGGCACCCAGCTCGCCCTGCTGGTGCGAACTACCAGTTATGAAGTGGAGAAAATCGCTATAAATTTCCCCTTTCATCCATTTATTACACCCTTCCTTTTTTTACTGCTAATTATTTCTTTCAATACGCCACTGAAATAGGGTGGGGTTTCTCTTCTGTGATGCTAGCTTGGTGGCTCCTGGAAATAAATCTTAAAAGAATTGTCTTTTTCCACAATTTTCTGCCTGCTTTTTCCCCATCACAGTGTTTTCTCAGAGTTTTTCACATCTTTATAGGGTCTGACTTTTTAAAGCACCTTGTATTTTTGTTTACTGAATGGATGATTCTCTGCCCAAATTGAATGTAATCGGGTCACGATCATTGTTCCCTAGGCAACCACCACGGAAATTAGAGAGCTATGATCATGAATTAACACTGTTTTTAAAAGTGTTTTTTTTTTAAAAAAAAAGGTATCTGCAAGGCTTAATAAAACATTGCTGAAAGAGTGACTGTGGAGGGCTTTAACACAATGATAGCTGGTCTCAATTCAAGAACCAGGGGACAAAATACCACACACCAGCCTGTAAAGGTAAATTCAAAGCAATTTGATGATGAAGAACCGCTTCTTTTCTGTCAAAATTCCGAGGGGATGCTTTGGTTAACAAAGGAATTGCAGTCTGCACCTGCACGGGCTGCAGGAATAACTGGAGCTGAAAAGCAGGTTGTGCAGTGGGGGTGAGAGGGAGGGTGAGCCAAGCCAGTGCATCCCTGCTGCCGCCTGCAACGCTGGAGAAAGACGAAAAAGAGTGATTGTGGAGTGTAGTGTCCTGATGAACGTGGTGGGAAGGGATGTGACAACCCGGCCAACCTGCCCTGTCACTCCTGACCGCGTCCACATGCTTCAATGAAAAATTCCAGCAACAGGCTGCAGACACCAATCTGAACGTGTGCCGTGACTCCCAGTGTCATTCGGCACAGTTTTGGCTTTGCTGGGACTCTTTTGTGTGCTCTTTTTGTATGTTAGGAAGACGTGCTGGTGTTTGGAGGGATTGGGAAGGGGCGACCAGGATGAGGGCTGTGCAGAATATTTTGTCCAGAGAAGCATCTTCCAAGCCCCAGAGCTCCGTGGTAGGCTCAGTCCTGGGGCTGATACACCCTGTGGCATTTTATTCCACCTTCCACTGCTGCTCCCTTCAGCCGTACACTGAGCTTGTTCCTCGCTCCTTGATAAGCTCTCACTACAGTAACTGCTGAGAGACAGCTCTTCATCATGTCACCTGCTGTCCCCTTGGCTCTCGCTGGCACGGGTGGCCATGACGTTGGGATGGCTCATGGGACCAGCTCTGAAAAGCAGCGTAATTACAGATGTGACATTGCCCCATCCCTGGAGGGGTTCAAGGGCAGGTTGGAGGGGGCTTGGAGCAACATGGTGTGGTGGGAGGTGTCCCTGCCCAGGGCAGGGGGTGGCACTGGGTGGGCTTTGAGGTCCCTTCCAATACAAACTATTTTGTGATTCTGTGATTCTCTGGGACACATCCACCCCGTCCCCCCAACCCCACCTTCCCCACA